AAATGAACATGGGATAAATAAGGAATTTTCCCAAACACTATTTGATTATGCAAGATTTTTAAAGGATCTTGATCTACCTCGTTTAGAAATTCATGTTAAAAAGTGGATCAAGATAAAGCGGACTAAAGACTCATCGACAAATTTCGTAGTTTTCTTATTATTCCAATTACTCATTGAAAGTGGTGCCACATTACATAAATTCAAATTACCTACACATATTGAATTTATACCAGAGATATTTCACGTGATAGAACGAAATAATCATTTTTTTTCAATGCAATGTTTAATTTTGGATATCACGCCAGGATTCAAAGTCAACTTGGAGTTTTTGAAGACTCTCTCCCGAAACACAAGAACAATCAATAAACTGACCTTAAAAATCTGTTCAAATTATGAACCGGAATTATATGAAGAACTTATTCGAATTATTCGAATACAAACTCAACTTAGGCAATTTAATTTAGTTGGAAATAGTTCTATCGAATTTCACGGCATAATTTCGGCTTTATGGAGTCAAAAAGATCCATTACAAGAAATTATAATCAAGAATAACGCAGAGTTCGAGGTACTGAGGAACTGAAAAAATCTAGAGACTCTTAGTATTAAGTGGGGTGATATGAAGTTGTCGGAAATACTAAATTCTAAAATGTATACATACCATTTTGTTACACAAGTAAGATATGCTGTTGACGAAGAGGATCTAATATGTTGGTTCATTTATGGCATGAAAGAACTATGTCGTAGCAAGGTTATAGCATTAAGTCTCACGTCATTTGAAACAGCAAAGGTAGTTGCAGAGATTATGGAAAAACATTGGTTAGAGGTAGAAAATAAAGAAATGATTAGAATTATGAATGAAGAAACAAGTGAGACGAATCATAAAGATTTACTCGTTTTTTATCATATTGAAGCTCTTCAGCAAAATACAAAATCATCAGACGTATATGATAGAATGGACATTGATGATATTACAGAAACCGTTTAATATGTAATCGAGATAACGAATGAACTGGAGCTAACCAAAATGACGAAGTCGAAATGAGTAATGAATTTTTAGATTGATCATCTATAATCGGTGATGCATACATACATACATAGAGGAGAGTGATAATGCAAACACATTAGTAGTTGGAAATTACGATGAATATGAGAACAGTAAAATAGCACTACATACCGAACAATTGATAGTTAACTTATCTGATGCACATATTGATGAATATAAGATAAGACATTCATTAATAATCGAGAGACTAAAGTAAAGGCATAGTTGATCCTGATAGGGCATTTATGACTGAGCATTGTATGAAATGACAATAAGGCGTTCATCGATCGTCAAAAACCTGCTGATATGGATCATGCTAATCAAATGAACAATTTCAGATGTTGTTATCAACAAAGAGTTGATGCTGAGAAGGTTGAATATCGTTGTGCAAATGAAATTGATCTCGAAGAGAACATGTATATGGTATTCACTAAAATCGGGTGGCGTGATAATTTATTCGAAAGTGAAGTATTTGATCCTGGAATAATGTTTTCTGAGACAATGGATATCGATATATATTGATAATTGATATTTTTCTCAAATATCGAAACGCTCCTTTAAAAAAACTGATAACCAATCGAAAAAAAAAAACTTCCTTGGTAATGACACTAAAGTGCTAATCGAATTTTGCATACGAAGCGAAACTTTGAATTACGTGGGCGTAAACCAGGGGTACCGAAAAATTAATTGCAAAATTAAATTTTTTTACAATTACCATTTAACATAATTGTTACACGAAAATAATTGTGCCCAATTAAGTTGTAAATAATTGCAATTAATTGCAATTCTTGTTTTCACTTTAAATTTTAATTTTAAAACGTTCTATATATTTTGATATAATTGTAACTAAAAAAATGATCTACATATATATTTATGGATATAATTGTAACCGAAAAAAGTTATTCGTATCCAATAGTAGTAAATGTATACTATATCAAAGTTTGCTGAGAAAAATTAACATTTGCAATATATTGTTGGTAAATTACTTTAAATTTCATGTTATGATTCATTAAACTTGTCTTTTTGGGGGGAGTATAAATTACACTTGGTCCAATTTAAAAATAGAGACTTAGGTCGCTCTCAAGCGACAATCTCAACTATAATAACGGAATAGTTGAATTTGTTACCATTTGAGCGAAAGCCAAGAGATGGTAAGTTTCTTGGGCTTCTCAATTTTTTTATTTTCCATAAATTATAACTAAGATATCGAAGATTCTGAGACTTGTAGTCTGAGTCTTATAGTCTGTAATAATAAATCACTTGATTGATTTCTTTATGTACATAATTATGTACAAGTTTATTTTATTAAATTGCAATTTTTGATGCCAAGATCAGCAAATAAATTAATTAACGAATACCTTATCGTTATTACAATCATAGTAAAAATTGCCACCAATCAATTATCGTGTTTATTATTTTTTATTTGAATTCTATATATACATTAAATTCAAATATAAATAAAATTCATCGAATTTGATCAGTTGGTTGCTGAGGTAAAGTTTTTTTTTAATGTTTATCCATAGCTGCCGCAACAAAATTGTACCGGCAGATTATCGATTTGATTGACTAAGAGCGACGATCGGGTAGTTTCAAGAAGAGTGAACCCGGTGATATCTTCGTGATAATCACATTACAGGATTAAACACTCGGCCTAAGTTAAGGTTAGTTTTAGGGTTAGGTGATGGTATTTTTTAGGCCAAATTCGTTAGTGCTAGTAAACAAATGACGTCATTGCATGATTTCACATAATGTGATGATCACTGGGTTCATTCTTCTTTAAGTGTCCCCGACAATCAAAAAATTAGGCCTAATTTTACTAATGAAAAATCACCAATTTTTTTTTGTAGTGAAAAAATTAAAAAGTTAATTCCGGCCGGAAATTAATAAACAATTTTGTGGTGTGGGCCAAAATTTTGGCAGCTATGGTTATTTAGATAGGTGTTTTGATTTTTCTCTAACTTTGGGCGAAGATATCTCCACAACTACTTAACCAAATTCAATAAAAAATTTTTTTTTTTTTTGGTATTCTATGGATTAATAGAATTTAATGAAAAATTTTTATCGAGTTTGGTCAGGTTGTTATTGAGATATCTTCACTCAAATTTTTAAAAAAATTGGCGTAGCTTCTATTTTGATAGACGTTTTGATTTTTCTCTGACTTTTAGCGAAGATATCTCCTAACAAAATTCGATAAAATTTTTTATCTGAATTATATGGATTATAGAATTCAAATAAAAAAATTTTGTCAAATTTGTCAAGTGGTTGCCAAGATATTTTGATTTAAAGTTTCGAAAATTATTTTTATAATATCACGTGATTATTCTGTCCATGTGCGATTGTGTAGATCATCTGATGGTCTTACATCATAGTTTTTCTCACCGTCATTACTTTTTCTTACTAATTATAGGCTATAACATAAACATTAACAGATAAACTTTTTTTTCTTTTTTCTCACCGTCATTACTTTTCTTTTTCTCATCATTACTTTTCTTTTTCTCATCATTACTTTTTCTCAACATCTTTACTTTTCTCTCCAACATTTTCGCTTTTTTCCATCAACACTCACGGCATCGAAAATACTTATGGGTGATACGCCCAACTAATGGAGAATATTCTTGATAATCTTTGGCGAGATTCATTCTGCAAAAGACGACCTTTATTCATTTCTAGATTTTTTTCATCTATTGATAAAGATGTATTAAATGAACATGGGATAAATAAGGAATTTCCCCAAACACTATTTGATTATGCAAGATTTTTAAAGGATCTTGATCTACCTTGTTTAGAAATTACCGTTAAAAAATGGATCAAGATAAAGCGGGCTAAAGACTCATCGACGAATTTCGTATTTTTCTTATCATTCCAATTATTTTCATTGAAGGTGGCACACCACATAAATTCAAATTACCTACACAGATTGAATTTATGCCAGAGAGATTTAACGTAATAGAACGAAATAATCAATACTTATTCATGAAAAGGTTGAATTTTCTGAACAAGATCTTATTAGTAATTTACAAAAGCTTCAAACTCTGTTACTATAATATAATATTGAAAACATCCCAGAGGCTGAAATGAAAATACGAGTTATGCGATTTGTAAAGACATTAACATCGAAATTTCTCGAATTCGGGGATAATTGGTTAAAAAACCCATTCATTGATATTTTTAACAAACATTGTAACGCTTCGTTGAAAGAGCTGGTAACAAATCCAAAAAAAGAAAGAAGGTTTATATTGGTAATGACACTAAAGTGTTAATCAAATTTGCATGCGAAACGAAATTACGAATTAGTTATGAATTAGTTCAGTAGTTATGAATTAGTTATGAATTAGTGATAATTTTAGAATTTTAAAAATTAATACTATATGAACGTATTGTTTTTAATTGCAATTTCAATAAATTCCCCTTATTTGCTGACTAAAAATAATTTTGATCTATTTTAAGTGCCAATTGTCAATGTATTAATCTGTCCAAACTATATGGACTAATTGGCCCCTGAATAGAATTCAGTCTAAACTTTCATAACGATAACAATGCCAGAACGTAGAATCGATTTTACTGTCAGATAATCTTCCGACGTATATCAACCAAATTTACATTTGCCCTTCTGAACCTAAGATGATAGTAAAATCGATTCGTGTCAACCCCTATTTGATTTTTTTTGATTGGCCTGATGAATTATTGTTATTAAACTATAATACCGCTTTTTTTATATGTAAAATAGGTCTGATCTGCGTATTATTAAATTTTTGAATAGTAGAAATGAATAATAAGTTTAAAATCTTGGTTAACGAAACTTTTTGCCCAGACTATCTTGCTTTGACACTTCTCAACAAAACCTTATAATTACCGGTACTACTAGAGTAAGTAGAGTTATTCTTAAGCGCTTTTATTTTTATTTCTTATTGATCTTTGTTATAAACATTATTATTCTAAAATTGATAAGACGATATATCATAATAATTGAGTGTCACAATATTTATTAGCAAATCTCTGTAAGCTTGATTCTTAAGCAAATCTGTCAGTAATTTCTTTTTCTACAAATTGTAACAACCGTTAGAATTAGCAAAGAATAAAGGTATAATTATCATCTGACAGTCTATAAAAGACAATTAACGTATAGAATTAAATGTGCCAATAACAAATAAGAGACGCTGCATTGACAATTTAAATAGTTTACAAAAGGATTTTACTGTGTCTAAGTTTTTTTTTAACAATAAACGTTAATTAAATACTAACTAAACAATTATTATTATTACATATTAAGGCATGAAAATTAAATTAGTTGTTTCTCGTTACATGGGACAAATAAGACCCATATTTACAGCTGTTTTCATAATTCCTGGTAATGCTTGGATCCGTTCAAAAAATCCGGTGGATTTTCTATTAGATATCCGTTCATATCGGATAATGAAAATATAATTGCAGATAGTCGAATATCTATTAAACTATCTGATACTTCAATTAATAATAACGATGAATTAATATTGGCATGAATAAAATAATAAATACATATTTGGATACTTCGATTAATAATGATAATGCATTAATGTTTTGGCATGAATAAATGACATATTTTTATACGTAACATTGAATAGAAAATTCCTTCTTATAAAAACGTATTTTATCTTGAGCAAAAAACTTATTTTTTTTTTTACATAACTTATTCATAATCGTAATAATGGATTATTTATCTAGCGAAACCTCAAGCGAAGTTTCTCTGAGTTGCTCAAATAATAATATTTTTACTATTTATTTAGCATTATTTTTCAGAATTATATTACAATGTATAATTTATGCATTGATGGTATTAATAAAATACACATTCTGATTGCGACTAGCTTTTTTATAATAATTTTTATAGTAAAAATTCGTTAAGTTTGACAAAAATTTCTATTTATATTGTTTGTTATAAAACTACTTTTAATCATTTATTTCAAGGGTTTCTAAAAAGGAAATTACTTATGACATGCATTTTGACAGTTCAGAAAGTTGATTTCTTTATTATTTGCAAGTTTAAAATACAATACAAAATAAACTCAAGAAGAATGTGGCACTTAAAGTTGGCAATTTGTTTTATTTTTATATATATAAAATTGCTCACTATTTTGTTTCTATAAACTTACTAAGCATATTTTAATAATTATAAATCACTAGAACTAGTGCTCCTATGGACCAGATCTGAACCAGACTTTAGTTAAGTTTGAGCCTGGTCTGGTTTTTGGACCGAACTCAGACTTTTATATTCGGACTTTTTAGTCAAGTCTGGGTTTGGTCTGGGTCTGGTCTGAAGTTTGCAGACTAGTCGGAGTTTAAATATATTTATATTTATTTTTTGGTGCTAAACAAGTTAGTGGTTAGACTCGGGTTACCCACAGATAGGTTAGGTATTGGGTTACAATTTTGTCAACCCAGACAACAATCCTCTTGATTTATTTTATTTTTTTTTATTAAGAGAGGTCTTTTCCTCATATCCTTTATTATAATTTCCTTAAATATTACATGGTTTATAACTGTGATTTAATTCTATTATTTACAGATGGGATAAAGCTAATTTACTTTAGACCTAATTTTAGCTAGACCAGTTCAAGACCTCTAGGCTATGTAACAAATGTCGCTTGGTGTTGTATTACCCATGATATATTGGTGGATCCACCTAAAAATGCCAATTTGTTTGTCATTACTTGGATAATCATTAAAGCTGTTACTTGTATGTTGTCCTTGTGGATTAACTTGTTGTTGTGTTATAGTTTAGTTTGGTTTTCATATATCTTGGTAGACTTTTTTTATTATTTCATGATATAATTTTGCTGGTGTTTTTTTTTTTTATTTGTAATGATGTTTTTTTAGTAATTAGTTCTAATAGTAGGGCCCTGTTTATATAAACATGTAAGAAGTTATTTATTAATATATTATTATTCCTTGAATTTAGTGAGTATTTTTGTGTAATTGTTGTTAGTTGGTTTGCTATAATGGTCTTGAAAAGTATTGTATTGGCTGGACATGTAATCCAATGCTAGTTGTCTTCTTGATAAAATCTGCAATATAAACAAGCTAGTGATGTATGTGTGTTGGGTTTTTTGGTATAGAATTTGTTGATTTGGTACTTAATTGGTTATAAGCTTGATCTTGAAATTTTTTAAATTCAACACCTTTGTGTTGGTATATCTTTAATTCAGTTTATCTTCTCAATTAAGTGATATGAATGTTGTGTTCTGATCTATTTAATTCTAATTTGTGTTTCACCTTTTGATTCTATTTTAATGGAGCTATTTGTTTATGTTGCTAGCTTTGAATAAATCTTTTAGTACTAATTTTAATAGTATATGAATTGGATATTTATATATCCTTGGTATAAAGAATCTATGAAGGAAGGCTCTGAAATTGAATTCTTTTGTATTATTTGTAATTGTTTTTGTTGTTTGACTTCTGTTCCTATAATAACTGAAAATTGTATGTTTTTCTGTGAAATTAATTGATAAAATACAATCATAAAAGGTAAATATATATTTTAATTAGGTTATCCTTAGTTGACTATGTTCCAATTTGTAAGATCTTTTATTGTTATAATGTTTTTTGAATTAGAGTTTGACCTGAATATCTGGATTCCTGTTTTTCTGTATCCTTTTTATAAAAGCTATATTCGAATAAACTGTTAGGTTTTAATTTGCAGATATCTAGATAAATCCTATAGATAACTGGGTAACCTTATAGATAACAAATAACTCTATAGATATCTGGATAAACTGGATAACCTACGAATACGTATCATGATAACAGATAGACAATGTATTATACTATATTTAAAATATTGTATATGCATATTGAAAATAAGATACTGTATCCTATTATGAACAAGCACTACACTCTCTACCTCACTTTTTTAAATATTAGATTAATGATAATAATTTGGCTAAAGACTTCATTGTAATTTCTGCTAATCTGAAATTTAAAAATTGAGGCAGAGGGTATAGTGCTTATTCACGATAGGATATGGTAACCAAAATTTTTATATTTGCGTTATAGTATAATAAATGTTATTAGTATTAGTAGTTTCAAAATTAACAAATAAGTGTGTATTTCGAAATAAGCAGGATTTTTCAAATAGCATTTTATTATGTTGAATTATAATTGGAAAAATAAAATAAATTCTCAGATTTATACTATTTGAGTGTTTCCAAGGGAAAATCACAGTTCAGACTTTCAATTATATTTCGTACCAGACACAATTCCTAATAAATTAAATTAATTGTGTTCAGTACAAAATATTGAAAGTCAGACCTGTGGTTTTGCATCTATTTATATATTGATATTTACTAATTCAATAACATATAATTTATTTAATTAGCATTAATTGGTATGTTAAGTATTAAAATTTAAAATAATATTTCATAAAAATATATATACAAGATAATGCGCCAAAGCCTTGTAGTATTTTATATTTGTTACCTTTTATTATAAAAATACAGAATGGTTTACTAACACAATAATTTACATAACTTATATTCTTATCAGCACAACAATTGGTAGGATAAAT